TTATTATTATTATTATTATTATTATTATTATTATTATTATTATTATTATTATTATTATTATTATTATTATTATTATTATTATTATTATTATCTTCAAGGAAAAACAAAAAAAGATCAGCTTTCCAAGTGGAAAACTGTGAGCATCCTAGACCAGTGTTGGCGAACCTATGGCACGGGTGCCAGAGGCCCAGTCCTAGGCCTTCAGTTGGGTTTTATAAAACCTTTTCACTTTAGGCCTCCGCCGCTATGTGCAAAAAGAAGAAAGAAGAAAAGGTTCAATCAGTCAATTTCAACTTCTCGCGGGGAAAAAAAAGATCTTGCAAAGTTGGAATTGATTGATTAAACGTTTTAGTCCCACCCAGTCTGCATTACCACTGTAGCCACGCCCACCCAATGGGCCACGCCCACCCGGCACTCAACGATGCATAAGTGGGTTTTGGGTTGCAATTTGGGCGCTCAGTCTCTAAAAGGTTCGCCATCACTGTCCTAGACCAAGGTAAATCCAAAAATGCTAGGGAATTCCTGGTGGCTTGACATTTAGGAAAATTATCCATCAATAGACACACGGCGATAAGCCACATTTACATATTATTCAATAAAGACAATAAAAATCTACAGAAACAAAAAGACCAAAACAAAAATCTCGAGCAGAGCGCCAGACAATTAAGAAGAAAATGATACCCTAATCAAGGAACTACCAAGGAGAAAACTATATCCCATCAACATTGGCAAGGCAAGCTAATGCCAAGATAATGATAATGGAAAAAACAGCAACAGAGAGATAGAAAAAAAACCATCTTCTCTATCTTCTGTTTTTGTTTTTCTTACAGTTGTATGTTAGTAACTGATTGTTTGGCCTGTGTTAATGAAAGTTAAGTTTTTTTACAGACATGGGACAAAAATGATTGGGTTTAAAGTTCTCACAGACCTTGTGAAAGAATTACATGTTTGGACAATCACTGTTGATTATAAATTGCTACATATAAATAAGATTTTCAGCTTTCTTCTGTTTTCTTTCAGGTCACTGATCAAGAAGCAGACAGAGAAGACATGAATATTATAAACCCTTTGAACTAACAAGAATATTCAAATGAAAAAGTAGCCTTTTTCTGGCAGGGCAAACTAAAGACATACTGAATAATTAAGGAACAATCTGGAATTTCTGTAGCTTGCACCAAAGTTATGTTCCTGCACATTTTATGAAGAAGATTTTATTATTATGCCACAGGGTGGTGCAGCCTAGAATGAAATTATCTGATGCAACTTGTGCTGTTCTGGCAATCAACTTGTTTGATTTATAGGTGGATTTGTTTCAAACATTCATTTATCATTTTAGGTATTATAGCATTATAATGTAGAGTTTCTACCTTAGAAGGCTGTTATATGTGGACTAGGATACTTAAGATTGTGTAGTACTTTGAATATTTAAAAACACCAATAGACATGTATTTGTTAGTCTACAGTTCAAAATAAATTTTAAATACACCTTCTCCCCAGATTTTTTTCCTTGAGTGCACTGACTCAAATTCTGACTGAAAATTCAACTCATATTTTGAAACTAAACCAGATCAACAAGCTATGCCTGATGCTACTGAAATAAGGTAGGCAAGGGTGAAGCTATCTCTTCCCAAAAGCAGGATAAAACTATAAAAGCCTTTTCATACAGTAAGAAAAGTATCAATGACATGTACTAGTTTCATTAAATTACCCTCCTCTTTAAAATCTCTGCCTCAAGATACTTTTGATTGAATGATACGTTGAAATACGCCTTAGCTGGGATCTATCAAATAGTCTTTAGCCAACAGATCTGGCAAACCAAATGAAACTGCAGTCCAGGAATGAAGGCTAAACGCATTTTTTTTATTGAGAGAGTCTATAAGAGATTCTTGCAAGTCTGATTGCACTGTACTTCTTTTTATAGTTCAGTGAATCAGGGAGGCATCTGCCTGAGCTGCATCCAACAGTATCTCATTCTGAATTTTTTTTAAAAATGCTTCTTTTGCCAAGGTAATGGTGCCTGCATATCTCTGTCAGAGTCATCATCCTTCCTCTCTAAATACATGAATACAGTAGAAAGTGGCCACTTTCTACAGATGCAGAACATAAGATAGAATGGAGAGATTTTCCTCAACAAGATAATTAAGTCCTGCCTTGTTAGTAGAGGAAGTGAGTTAACATCTTCCTGGCAGTAGAGACTGAGAGCAATCTGATTCAGAAGAGAAGTTTAGGTTTTGACAGGGACTTTACGTCTTGATTTTCTACCCCTTAAAGCCTCTAAATCTAAAACAATTAAGTGAATTTAAAAAAAAAACACCAGAAAATTTGGCTGCATTGACTCTACAGATTGTAAAATCATAGCAGCCACACTACTTGATCACAGAAGGTTTGCTAAGAATGACTGAAGACAACTTTTTAGTTTTAGAGCAATTTCTCTAGAATAGTTGATTTCGTGTTTAAATGTGAGGGGGAAAATCCTTATTCTATTGGATTCCAATTTCTTTAGAGAGCTGTAATTTACTTCTGCGTTTCCAAAGAAACTGTGTGCCAATTAAACTGAGCGAAAGTCAATTTGAAAAGAGGGAAAAGAGTTTATGTTTTAGCAAACAACATACAGTATTGCGGTGATTCCCCCAAAATCCATGAGACTTGAGATGAAGAGACTTCTCTTCCATCAAGACTTGAGTGAGGAAAAATAGAAACAAAGTGGATGAAAAGTATTCCTTACAGGCTCTCACAGAACTTCCTAAGAATGCTTGGTTTTTCCTGGTTGCGTCTCTGTCGAAACCAACGTTGAATATTGCGCACATCCCAGTCTAGCTGCTTGGATAGCCCTTCCAGCCTCTTCTCATCTGGATGCTTTCAAAATTAAAAAAAAAAGAGTCAAAAAGTTACTCTTTTGATGAAACTTCAACTAAATTCCAGTTAATACTCTTTACTAAAACTAAGCATAAGTTTCAGATCTCCATATGAAAAAGGAAATGCCCTTTGAAATGCCAGCTTGTTATCCAGAATATAAAACAGTTTATGCAAGTTAAATAATTGTCAGAATCATCTTCAGTTGTTACTGGTCTGTAGTTCATGTTGTTATCAAACTACCGCATATGACCTGGACAAAAGTAATTAAAGATTCTTAATGCCTCCAGATTTCTGCATTTTACATAGAATGTCATCATGCCAATGACATAAATTACCACCATAACACACAATTTGATTTCATGGACACTTTTTCTGTCTTTACCATACTTTAGTTTAAAATATAAGGTGCAAAGTTCTGCTTTTTGTTACATTGTTTTTAAACTCACTCATTTTCCACTAGGCCTACTGGCTTGAAATTCTGTGACTGGTAAACTGAATTATCTGGATAGGTCCAGGATGAGAATGGCTACTCACACTAGTTTATTTTTGCCTCACTCATGTACTGTACTTTTAGTTGTTGTTGTTTTTTTACCCTTTATTGCTTCAGGGAACCCATCTCACAAAATGATCACAAAATACAAATTTATTTTTTCATGGAAGATTTACAATTCTACAAATTCCTTTTCCAGAGAATAAAAACACATTAATAATAAAGGTAGACCTCGCTTATTGATCTCTCTTTCAGTGACCATCTAAAGCTACCATGGTAACTGAAAAAGGAGATTTACAACTGATCTTCAAAATTTTGGACATTGCAGCATTCCAGCATTTATGTGATTGCCATTTGCAATCTTCACAGCTGGATTCTGACAAGCAAAATCATTGGGGAAGCTGTCAGGAAGTCGCAAGTCATGGTAGCTTAACAACTGTGGGTGATTCATTTAATGAGCACAGCCAGCAGTGATATTATAAATTGGCATAGTCATGTGACATCATGCTTAATGACCATGCCACTTAGTGATAGAGTTGGTGGTCCCAATTGTGGTTAGTAAGGGAGGACTGCCTCTATATTTAAGCTTCATTATTTATTGCCCTAAAGGGTACCTCAAATTGTAAGCTTTGGGTATACTCTCCTATTGTTTCTTAAAATGTTCAAGATTGTGGAAAACTATTTTTTTTTATTAAGAATACCTATAATTTATTTTGTTAAAGGAAGAAAATCAAAGAAATAAAAAGATATTCTATATACTCTGGTACATTTATTTTTTTATAAATCATAATGGAGTACATGAGCTTGTATGTTAATTGATATATTTAAACACATTTAAATATTAAAATACATTAAAACCTTGTGGCATATTCCATCCACTTTTGGAGTGAGATTTGTTAAAGTTTTACAATGAGTATAACATTTAGCTTAGTTTTATATTTAGTCTTAGTTGCAAGGAGTGTTAAAATTCAGTTTTATGATGTATTGGAGGAAAAAACAGCTGTCCTTTATATGTCTTTTCAATTAAGCTCATATTCTGTGAACATATACGAAAAGTCTTCTAATTATTATTTTTTTCTCAACTGTTTGTGACATCTGAGCAGAAATTTGCCAACATCTTGCTTTTGATCTTGGAACTAGCTTGTGATAAATTGAATATTTACTTGGAGAATGTTGGTGTAACAGAAAATTGTTTAAGAAATGACTTGTATAGAACTGAAATCTAATTGTCTACAGAGACTATATCTCTCAAAAATTTAAAATAAGTAACAAAGCATCTAAGTAGCCAGGGGTGGGGGAAGGCATCTAAGTTACTTGTGAGTTGTAGCCAAGTGGATAAGTGTAATGGACAGTGAGAATGTGATGGGCACTGAGAACAATATTGGAAGACAGGAGGAAGAACCACAACCTAGATAAAGGTCTATAAGAGGAATCAGAGTCCAAAGGAAGAATGGGGATAAAGATGGAACCCTTCCTAATCCTTTGGAAAGTGAAGGAAGGGGCAAAATGCTTTCAGACTTATAAGATTCTGTTATTGTAACCTTGGAATAAAGGTAGTTTAGTACTCAGGGTTTTTGGTTTCCTGTCTGGACTACCTTGAAGGGCTGACAGTAAGTCATCTTAGGGCAAATATGTGCTGGTAGGCAGGGCAGGGCATGAAAGAGACTAGCAAGCAGCAGCAAGAAAAATAATTATGAGCTGGGTCCACATATGCATTCTTTTCCATTTCTTGCTTTATAAATTGTGTGGTTCATAGGTGAACAGTTCTTCTGACACCAGGTATTATTTATAACTAAAAAAGTGATAAGTGATTTATCGCTATAAAAAGTATGTCATGAAAGTTTGAAATTGCCAACAAATATGTGGTAGAGCTGGCCCAGTGGTAACAACAACAACAACAACAACAACAATAACAATAATAATAATAATAATAAACAACTTTATTGTCACTTTGATTGTATACCAATCGGCATACATCAAAATGAAATTTCGTTGCATAAAGCTCTCAAAGGGCCACCACCTCCGATATACACTTGTTCATGGCCAGTTCAAGTTTCAGATCATACATTTTAATCTCTAGGGAGCGAAGGATGGTGTTATGTCCTGGGCCGGCAGGCGCAGGCTGCAACGATTGGCCCGGGCAGACCATGTGGATGCCTGGGACAAGAAAGGCTGCTCCCAGCCTTGCGCGCACACGCACGGCGGGAAAAGATCCTTTGCAATGATTGGCCAGCAAGGTATTGTGCAGGGGGGGCTATAAAAGGGGGCCGCACCATTTTAAAATCTGTTCTGTTGGTGTTTGCAATAAAGGAGAACTGTTGGAACTCGTTGCTTCGTCTCGATGCCTCTTTTCCTGAAACAGAACAGATGGCAAACAGGACAGATGGAAACGGAGCTCCATGTGGATTAGCGCCCATATTAGCTTGTATTCCTGCACTACAACCTCGCCTCCTCTCCTTTTTCTGATCCTGTCTCTTCCAACTTTTCCTTAAAGGGGCCTTGCTCCTTTTCACCCCTGGAGCCCGCTGCCACTGCCTGAATGCTATTGGTAGAACTGAATGTTATGAATATTTTATCATGGGTTTTTAAACATAAACCTGATTAACTCCATGACAATTGTTCATAAAATGACTATTACCCTGACTTTCAGTCCCCAGGATCAACTGTTTCCATGCATCCACTTATCTCACAAATATACTTGTGTTTTAATATACTTGGCCTTGTTTTGCTCAGAAATTTAGTATTAAATCTATCCAATCTCTCAGATCCATTCTTAAGTAATAGCAGCACGTGGATCACTTGTGAGAAAAATTAGCAGGATACTTCTGCTATTACTCATTACCACAATATCAAATTAACATGCTAGTGAGAGCAGCTAATCCTAATAATTAATTACATTGCCTTTGATGAAGAATCTTTCTTTTCCCAAAGTAAATAAAAGGATTTTAGGAGCATATTGTACCTTTGTGATTGCTGTGAAGACTTTTTCAAGAATAGCATTAGGCTGAGCCTTCTGTGGTCCGTTGGCTTGGACTTTTAAGCCTAAGGCACACGGCTTAGCTATAAACCTAAAATGGAGAGAGAAATAAGGAAGAAAAAGAAAAAAGGAATTAGATACATGTGACTGACTACTTACAAATTAAGCTGACTCTTCGTCAGTTGCACACAACTCAAATGATGAAATGATGCTGTCTCCAAATTAGTATGCTTAATCAGTATGTTTAACCTGTGCTTGTGGGTGTTTTGCTTCCCAGCAGAGAGACTGCCTATCAATTCCCCCTGTGTAATTTTGGTGCCATACTACTTTCAGAGTTTATTGTCCTGCAACACTCTCATGTTTTGCTGGGATAACACATTCTATAAGGCTTTTGCTAGAGTGCTGGTCTGCAACACTGATCTAGTGTCATATGAATAGTAGGTTTAATTCTTTTTTAAAAGCTGATCCTGTCTTGCACTTGCTTCCAAAGCAACCTATTGAGAGAACCATTTTGCCAGATAGATGCCTGCAAATACACGTAGATAAATGTAGGAAGAGAGCTATATTAATCTACGGTTGTCAAAAATCAGAAAGAGTTTGGTAGCATGTTTTCAGCCTAACACATTTTATTAAAAGGCATAAGCTTTTCTGAGCTACAGTTCACTTCATAAGATGCATAGAGTGACTAATGTAGGATTTAAATTGGGGCTGGGTGGGGGAAGGGAAGACAAAATAGTTATGCAGATACAGATTACATGTGACAACAAGTAAAACAAGTTCTTTATCCATTAATAACTTTACAATCAATTGTAAACAATCAGCGAAGCCCCTTTGGATTCTGTGTAGGACTGCACAAAATATGTAATAGAATTTTGGCATCAAAACAAAAAAAAAATAAAGACAAATAACATGAGAGCATTTTAACTTCTTATAGTACTCCACCACAGATCTCAAATGAGCTGTTTTGGAGCAAAGAAATTTTGTCAGCACAATTGAGCAAGACTCTGCTGAATTCTCATAGAGCAAAAGATCTCAAAATCTCATAACAAATACATTCTCAATTGATCAAGCACTTGAAGTCTGTCTCACGGGTGATTCGCATCTACATAACCACCTTGGCTACCCTGTCAATCACAGGTCAGGAAGCCCCAGTGTAGACATAATATATATGGACAAGAAATAGACTAGCTCCAGGTTGACAAAGGAGTTTGATAAGACTGCATATTCTCCCTTATACAAGTAGTCCTCGAGTTATGACAATTGAGCCCAAAATTTATGTTGCTAAGTGAAACATTTGTTAGGTGAGTTTTGCCCCATTTTACAACTTTTTCTTGCCATAGTTGTTAAGGGAATAATTTCATTTGTTAAGTTAATAACGGTTAAGTGGATCTGGATTCCCCATTGACTTTGCTTATCAGAAGCTCACAAAAGGGATCACATGACCCCAGGACACTGCAATGATCATAAATACACACTAGTTGCCAAACATGAATTTTGATCACATGACCACGGGGATGCTGCAGCGGTTGTAAGTGTGAAAAATGGTCATAAGTCACTTTTTTCAATGCCATTGTAACTTTGAATAGTCACTAAATGAACTGTAAGTCAGGGACCGCCTGTATGCTGAGTTTAAAGGAGGTTGGATTGAAAGAAGATGTGCGCAGTTTGAAACTTGGAGAAAGAAATATCAATAACTTGTACTATGCTGAGTACATTATCCTGATAGCTGAAAATGCAAATAATCTTCAAGCCCTAGTATTAAAAGTCATATAATAATAATAATAAAGTTGGAAGGGACCTTGGAGGTCATCTAGTCCAACCCCCTGCTCAGGCAGGAAACCCTATACCATTTCAGACAAATGGCTGTCCAGTCTCTTCTTAAAAACTTCCAGTGTTGGAGCATTCACCACTTCTGGAGGCAGGTTGTTCCACTGGTTAATTGTACTAACTGTCAGGAAATTTCTCCTTAGTTCTAGGTTGTTTCTCTCTTTGGTTAGTTTCCATCCGTTGCTTCTTGTCCTGCCTTCAGGCGCTTTGGAGAATAGCTTGACTCCCTCTTCTTTGTGGCAGCCCCTGAGATATTGGAACACTGCTATCATGTCTCCCCTTGTCCTTCTCTCCCAGTTCCAGCAACCGTTCCTTATATGTTTTAGCCTCCAGTCCCCTAATCATCTTTGTTGCTCTTCTCTGTACTCTTTCTAAAGTCTCAACATCTTTTTTACATCGCGGTGACCAAAACTGGATGCAGTATTCCAAGTGTGGCCTTACCAAGGCATTGTAAAGTGGTATTAACACTTCACGTGATCTTGATTCTATCCCTCTGTTAATGCAGCCTAGCACTGTGTTGGCCTTTTTGTTTTCACATAGTGAAAAAAATGGAGCTAAAATTAAATATAAAGAAGAGCAAACTAATAACAATAAATAGAACAGCCAGCCTTAAAATTGACAATGAAGATACTGAAGTAGAAGACGATTTCTCCCATTTAGGATCAACCATCTAGAATAAAGGAAAAAGCACCACAGATAAGAATTTGGTAAAACAGCCATGAAGGCCACGGAAAAGATATTCAAATGCCATGATGTGTCAATTCTACCAAGAACAGAATTGTGCAAGCCATGTTATTTTTTATAGCACTCTGTGGAAGCAAAGGCTGAAAATGCAGGAATGGAAGAATATTGACATCTGAACTTTGCTGTTGGGGAAGACTCCTAAGAATACCATGGACAGTCAAGAAAACAAGGAGTTATGGAGAAAACGTGGATTTTTTCTAGAGCTCCTTTCAAACAACTATACTCCATGATAAGACATGGACGTTTCATGGAGTTTATTTGAAGAAAGACCATGTGGAGCACCACTCACAGAAGATATTGGATATATTCTTTTGGACTGCAAACTGTACTCTGCAGGAAAGGCTGCTTGCTTAGATTCTTACTTAAAAACTAAAAAATACTAGGACACTTGGGAGAAACTGTGTTACTTTTTGCAGGGAACGAACCATATATATCACTAGTAAAATTGCACTTTATTTCAAAGGCCATTTTGAAGAGGACAGAATATTTAGATCAGCTTGGATTAACCATAGGAGTAATGACTTACTATGAACAAGTCCTATTGTTTTTTTTGCATCTATCTGTATATTTGTATTAGTTTCATGCTTTGATATGGTCAGGTGACTAAATCAATAAAGTTTCTATTCTAGTCTAACTATAAGTGATAATTATAAGACGCAACAGGGACTCAGCTTTTGTTATCCTAGGGTTCTAATATATTAAAACACAAAAGCCACACAGAGGAGAATTATTTCATTTCTTTGATGAGGGGAAAAAAGAAGACAATCAAAGGATAGGATTACAGAAGCAAAGACAAAAATGAAAGAGGCTATTGTTGGATTAAGTGGAAAGGGAAATAAAAAAGAAATAAAAAAGAAAATCACAAAATGTACAAGATGTACAAAATGAAAAAGTACCTCAAACCTAGTAGAGAATCATTGTGTCCCTATATCCCCTGAGAAAAGGAGTCCTTGTCTTACAACAATTTGTTTATTGACCAAATTACAACAGCACTAAAAAGTGATTTATAACCAGTACTTACACTTACAGTTGTTGCAGCATCCCTACAGTGATGAATCAAAATTTGGGTATTTGGCAACCAGCATATATTTACAACAATTGCAGCATCCTGGGGTCATGTGATTGCCATTGGCAACCTTTCCCAGCTGGTTTCCAACTAGCAAAGTCAATGGAAGAAGCTGGACTCACTTAACAACTGCATGATCCACTTAACAACTGCAGTGACTTGCTTAACAAGCACGGCAAACAAAGGTGTAAAGTCAGGCATCGCTCAATTAACAACCATCTTGCTTTGGAAGGTGGAAATTAGTGGTAAATCGAGAACTATCTTTACGCATGCAAACCAGAAGTTATCTGAATATGCCTGAGTATTCTGCAAACTTAATCTAATTTCCAAGGACTAAAGCCCAGAAGATGCAAGGTGGGCCGTGTAGCATATTATTTTCATGAAAGAAAATAAATATCTAATGCATAATAATTGATGTAAATCTGAAGTCTGGAATATATGTTCTAACTACTCACTATTCCTATGAAACACAGCCATTAGTGAGGGAAAATGGGGCTATAATCTAGCAAAAGAGGATCATAGATGGTGGTAAATTTATTTGTTGTTTATTTATTAAATATGTATATCATTTAATAAATAATTTCTGGCAATTCTGGCCATTTGTCAACTAGTGATGGCCATCAAGAGCCTGTTAATTATAAAGAGAAACAATACAATGTGCGTGTTAAATTCTACCTGAATTATATAATTTGAAAACTATGAAAACTATGATTTCACAAAGCTCAAATTGTAGTGAAACAAGGACTATTGTGCGGAAAGTCTTTTTCTCACATTCATTTTGATATTTTGCAAAAAAACACATTGTTCTTCCTGAATATTTTCACAGATGATGATTTATTTCTATCGCCTACATTCTGTTCTCTCTTTCTGTCTAAAGGGCAGATTTCTGTCAGAGTTTTGTAAGTGATATTCCAAACTAATCAGATTTCTTTAAAAAAAATATGTGTTACTCAGAATAAAAAGATAATCCATCTGCTGACCCAAGGTATGTTATCTCTCCCCCACTCCCGGCTCTAGAACTTAAATAAAAAAGTTAAAACAAGAAACCTCACATAACAGGAAAAAAAATCATAATACAATGCATCATTATACAGCATGAAATATTTGGTCAAATTAGGTGTTTGATTTGCAAGAAGTTTTTATATTCATCTAAATGAGATGAGACAGGGTCTTAAAGATTAGCTGGAGGGGAGAGGAAGGAGGCAGATGGATCAAATTCAGATTTTAGTGAAAATTTCTGTATGACATTAGACCCAAACTGAAAGTAGCTGTTAAAATCTGAAAGAAAATGGCCAATATTTTCAGGGATAGTGGTAGTCCTTGACTTATATTTAGTGACCATTCAAAGTTACAATGGCACTGAAAAAAGTGAGCTATGACTGTTTTTCACACTTACGACCATTGCAGCATCTCCATGGTCACGTGATCAGAATTCAAACACTTGGCAACTGACT